ACACACACACACACACACACACACACACTCACATACAAACACACAGAGAGAGAGAGAGAGAGAGAGAGAGAGAGAGAGAGAGAGAAAGAGAGACAGACAGACAGACAGACAGACAGACAGACAGACAGACAGACAGACAGACAGACAGACAGACAGACAGACAGATAGACAGACAGACAGACAGACAGAAACAGAGACAGAGACAGAGAAAGAGACAGAGACCACAAAAGACTCACGTAGACAGTGGCAGGTGTTGGAACCCGGGTCACACACAGCGCTCTTCACGTCCGGACACCGCGGGGGCAGACAGTCGGAGTCTTTGGCACATGACGGCTCCAGGGCAGTCAATGAACCGGTCACTGGAGAATGTAGGCTTGGTTTAGTAAGGTTTTACGGCGCTTGCAACTCTGTATAATAAGGTCATATGAGCGCCAAGGGGTGGATGTCAACAGAGAAGTCCAAACGGGGAGTCAGGATTTCTCTGCTCACCTCTTTTAGTTTAGTTTTAGTAAGGTTTTATGGCGGTATTTGTTTATACCGGAACCTTCCGAAAACAACCGAAACCTCCCAAAACCTCCCAAAACCGCGCAAAAACCACGCAAAAACCACCCAAAACCACCCAAAACCACCCAAAACCTCCCGAAACCACCCAAAACCACCCGAAACCCCCTCAAAATGTCTATGATATGATGTTATTTGCTATGCTATCTATCGCTCTGTGGATAAAATATTCTGTCGGCTGGTTCTTGGTTCTTTTTATAAGAGAAAAGGATGGTTTATGTAATCTTTGGTCAACTCCATTCTTTATTTTGTTTTAACGGATGAGCGACTGCTCAGGTTGCAATTTAATAGCCTGTACTTCTTAGAATTTTAATTAGAGTTATAGTAGTATTCAAGTATAGATTTTCACATAATGTTATGATGCGTTATTTAATTTCTGTTATCTTGTGCATGTTGAGAAGTATTCTATGGAGAAGTGACCATGTAGTGACCCCTAAAATATTTTTGGGTTAAATTATAAAAAACTTGGGTTATCACTTATTGTGTAATATATTTCCTGGATATTTCCTGGACAAAGGCCAGAAACGTATGTACGATTTTCTATACCCTAAAGTGGTGTTTGAAGGGATTTTAGAGCAGAGGGTAGAGAATTTTAAAAAGAAAATAATTACCCCTTTTTTTTCAAAAGGCATGTTTTACACAGCTTATATGTTTCAGTTTTAGTAGGAAACGTTCATTCTATTTCTATTGCGTTAATATTATCAAGAAGTTGCCATGTTCGAGTTTAAAATATGTCTTTACGGTTTCTAATTGGAAAGAGAAATATTTTGGCCTTTTCTGACCTTTATCGGCCGTTTTCTTAAAATGCTGTTTTCACACATTTTATCCCATTTTCTTGCTGTATCTTATTTGATTTTAATGTAACTTTCACAAAATGTTAACGACTCCTATTTCTAGAAACTGTCTTGAGGAATTTTTGATTGCACATGTAGCTTTTGATAAATGGCGTCAGAAAGTGATTTTTCCCCTTTTTTTCAGTTATGCAATAAGCCGATTTTTTAAGTCCCGTGGAATGAAAACTAAAGCATAAACCACTAATTCCCCAAGACTATTTTTAGATATGTACTTTTCCTATGTACATGCCAAATAAAAAGTGTTTGAAATAAAAACAAATAAGTCAAATCAAGAGAAATATTGTCTCTTATATATAATGCTATTGTATTGTTTTTTTAGTTTAAATAATTTTTTCAGGATCAAGAAGTATCCAAGTGGGTGGTTCGCGGGTGCTCTGGTATGTTTTGCTCCTTTTTCCCTATCAAACATCTATCGTCCTTATCTCCCGCCTTCTTGTAACACCTCTAATCTTCGGCACTTGTTTGACCTTATCGTGTTGCAAGTGCAGTAAAACACTTACTAAAACAAAAGAAGAATCCAAAAACTGTAATATTGTATTACAGATCAATATTTTTTCCACAGAGCGATAGATAGCATAGCAAATAACATCATATCATATACATTCTGAGGAGGTTTCGGGTTGTTTCGGGGGGTTTTGGGGGTGTTCGGGTGGTTTTGGGAGGTTTCGGTATAAACAAGTACCTGTTTTATGGCGCTTGCAACTCTGTATAATAAGGTCATATGAGCGCCAAGGGGTGGATGTCAACAGAGGAATCCAAAAGAGGAATCAGGCTAACTCTGCTCATCTCTCTAGCCTCAACAGCACAAAGTCTGCTTCGACTATCAAGGCACCGCGGAAAAAGCAGTTCACAAGAGAGTGACAAACATACAAAAGAAGTAGAGGAAAATTACGGCAGCAAGGATGGGAAAAGCATAAGCGTAGTTCCCCCTATGTTGTTCCGGCACAGTATGAGCATGACATTGATAAATCAGGCCATTTACAATTATTCTAATTTGCATTACAACATGTTCATATCCCCCCCCCCCCCCCTTTTGGGAATGGCCTAAAGACACTTCAGCCAGTACTGCATCATCTGATAAAACGCATGTCTTTCATTTTGGCGGGACATTTTTTATTTCTACTAATGCATTTTATATGTAGAAAGTCATCTTGACATAAATCAATATGAAAAGCCTAACTGTGACCAGTTTTTGAATAAATTAGCATTTTAGATTTGTTAA